AAAAGAATTGCAACCGGGAATTCCACTGACTTCACACGGATCCTGCACCCTCTCCGAGACACAAACCAGGGTTTTACACAACTTCCCCGTGCATTCGGGCTCTGCCAACAAGCTGTTCTACCTCTTCGCCCTCACTTTAATACACACAGAAATGTTGTCAGATCTTCAGTGACTGTGTAATTAATTTAGTAGATTCATTTTATTTTGCGTTCAGTCCAGAGACTGATGATTTTAGTGTAACATTAGCTAAATAGATTTTGTAACGAGATGCAAACGACACGGGGGAAATTAACCCTGTTTTCTTAAGTAAAGTCGTTATTTTCAGTCTCCAATATGACTAACTAATGTGTTTATGTATAATGGAATTAACACAACCAGCAGCAATTTATTTCTACCGGTTGCATTAACAATTTATGGCTGATGTGGGAGTTTTTTTCCACAGGACAAATGGGGTGACCTTTGACAAGCCGCCGGCCTCCCATTCTCGTCGAGGCCATTAGTGTTGGTAGCCCTCAAGTAAATTCAGGTAAATACAATGTAAGCATAAATTTGTAGGCCTTCACAGTTAGCCATAGCTTCAGTGAATTGGTTAATTTAGTGTTCATACACTATTTACGAATATATACAAACACATTCAAATATATATTTGTACATATCGTATATGCTTAATGATAGTCACAATGTGTGATATTTTCCAGTTTGTACAAAGCTGGATTTAAGCTCGTAGTTATGAACAGCACTACACACAAGGTTAACGTTGTATGTCGGCTGTATACTGCCACTAGAGACAATTAAAACACACTGAGAGATAATATATTGAACTCGTGTCAGTTTCCTTCCTTACCTGTTGAGGACAACGACGACAGTGCGTCCTGACGGGTCGATGAAGGCGGCCACCTCCAGGAAGTCTGACGTGGTCGACCAAGAGATCCGCTGGGCGCCGGGAACCACGAACTTGCTCAAATGACCGATGGCATAAAACATTGGCTGCTTGTAAAACTCGTCAACTTCCTGCACAGGTGAAATTTTATTGGTATTGCGAATTCTGTAAATATGAACATTGTAATGTTCACATGGACGTGATTAGTGCCTTCTTAAAGACGGCTCTGCTAATATCATGTATGTTTTGTACTCTTTTAAACGTCATATCTTTGAGGAAATATACTACAGAACTACACCATATGCATACTGTTATTGTATTTACATCTTCATTGTAATATCTTAATTAAACCTTTACAAATATATTAAGCTACAAATTTTGGCTTTGAGTTATATTTCTTAATAACAAAATATCAAATACATACTTGCTAGTATAGTGATTACTCACAACGGTACCACTTATCTCTGTATGTGTCCATGTACCAACAATTGTTTTACATATACCCTTGTAGACGGTACTTCAGAATTATATAATAGAATTTAAACTATACTGAATGACTAGGGAAAACAAAGGATAATATTTGGGGTATACTGACGGCGTCGATAATGACGGGAGAGTCGAGGAAGTTGTTAGCCCAGTTGGGTCCCCCCAGCGTGTCCAGAGCCATGTTCCAGTCCACCCAGCCCGTTGAGTAGTGGTTCACGGCCTGCAAACATCACAACATTTTACCATAATACAATACTCTTTATAGAGAGAACGATCTTTTCCTGCACGCAATAAATGCGAAAGAGCAATAAATGATCATTAACGTGCTTTACTTATTTTGGTTGTGTAATTATAACTGAAGGCGGTACTCACATCCAACATGGAGTGGACGTACTGTTCAGCACGCAGCCATGACCCAAGCTTAACACTTAATTCCGACCCCTGAACGTCCCATCCTGCAAGACAATATGATTACTATGCTGAATGAGCGGTAGTTTTTGGTTCACAGACTCCTGTCTCGTTGGAGCATCCTCTGACATATTATAGGAAGCTCTGTATTAATCACTTCACACATGGGCGTAAGATGTCAGCGAGCGAGTAATGGAACAACGTGCCAGGGGATCAGACCAGGACATGTTGGGATGGAGGGGGTCAAAGTGTATGAGGAAATATGGCCCACGTTGGATACTAAATAAAAAAGTACTGATCCTAAGTTTTCTGCTTGAAATATTATCTCCGCTCCACACAAGTCATCGGTTTTGTCCTCACCTTGACAGGCCTCTGTGTACAAAATAAACCTTTCTGGAGAGAGAGCGTGGGTCTTGTCCAGAATTTCCGTGTCTGTTACGTTGTCCCTGTACCAGTGGACTGCCGTGCCGTCGATGTATTGAGCACACTCGGGATCCTCCAGCATCTGTTACGTGTGAACTGTTTATTAAATCTATAATGACCATAGTTGCCAAAATATAAATAATGATTGAAGACTGAGGCAAAAATTTCATAACTAAACCATCATTCATGTTAGCATTATGTTAATTCATATTATACTACGGACAATTATTGCAATGTATAAAATGAAGGGACCGAAACGTCGTCGTCCCTTCAACTTCTAGTGTGTGGTCTGGTCAACATACTTCAGCCACGTTATTGTGACTCATCGCCTGCATATTTTTGTAAAATTTAAAGGTTTTCAAGATTAGCAAAATTATGGTCATATATTCCAACATAATTATATTATGTTGGAATATATGACTAATTTCTGCATAATAATTTTGTGGATTTTGTATTTCAAATATGCATGTGGTTATTTGATTACATGGTCATAAATACATCAGAGATGGATTTATACACTGCGAGGTGTACACTGCTTCTCAGTATATATACACTGAAAGTTCTCTTCAGTCCACGGGCTCACCATAGCCCGTGCTACATGGATACTTCGTCCTGAGTAGCTAAATCTGAAACAACAACAATTCTTCAATCCCTTACGGGCTATTCATGCCCGTGCCACCTCTTGGGTGGCTTAATCTTCATCAATCTTTAGTCGCCTTATGGGCTCACTATAGTGCATGCTACATGGACATTTCGTTCTGAATATATATATCAACAACAAAAACATCTTTAGTCCCTTATGGGTTATTCATGCCTTTTAGGGTGGCTTCATCTTGTGCGTGTAAGTTTTCAGCATGACTTAGTTTTCAGAGTGAGATATTTTTTCAGAGGAAATTAGTTGATCAGAGTAACTTAGTCGATCAGAGTGAGATAGCTGTTCAGAGTGAGATAGTTGGTCAGAGCAAATTACTTGATCAGAGTGAGTTAATATATCAATCTGAGTTAGTATATCATGGTGAGTTAGTTTATCAAAGTGAGTTACTTTAGTGTGAGTTAGTTTATATATATTTGTGTAAGTATTAATGCAAGTAATGTCAAAGTGAACTCATCATGGGAATTTCTGTACGTCTGTATATGTTTACAAATGTGATATTAAAATTTAGGAATGTAACTGTCACTGAAAGTGTGAAATAGTGATGTCTGGGTAAATGAAGAAAAAGTGGATGATTCAGAGAGAATAAGATGGTGCTTTAAATAAGATATGCTACATAAGTTATGTTTGGAAGTTATGTAAGTTATGTCTGGTGAGATAATGCAATGATGTTCAGGGAATAATTTAAGATACAGCAGATAAGAGAATACATTTTAAACAGAATAATTAATTAACAAAAATGCTAGTATGGCACGAAAATTTGAACTAGTTAGTTAAAGAACGGAGATTTTTGTGAGAGTTATTATTCATATCAAATCAAATCAAATGTTTATTTAGGTAAGGTACATACATACAAGAGATTTTACAAAGAGTGATAGATTTATAGATAGGGCTAGTACATACAATGCCTAAAGCCACTATTACGCAAAGAGTTTCGGGCATATCAAGGATGTGAAACATATTAAATGCAGATAACATGGTAGTCTTAGTACCATTGTATTAAGTTGAGAGAAAGTTTGGTCAGAGATATAATATAAAGTTATGGAAAGATATTGTATAACAAGTTACATTACAAGTGGGTAAACGTTTTTCTTAATAATAATATATATGACATAGAAAAACTACTGATTAATGGAAGTTACATGAATAAGAAAAGATGCAAATCTTACGAAAAGTTACCAATGATTAGTTTGAAATAATACTTATAGTTGGTGATGACTGCATAAAGACATGTCATAATAAGTTTAACACAAGCTATAGTTAAAATATGATGCATGAACGATTCCCTTGACTGTTGAAGTTGTATTTGTAATTAAGATGTGATATGAAGAGATTGACTTTATAAATGTAACTGCATGTGTATTTGCAAGTTGATGTAGGAGTGTAAGCGTAATTTTGTGAGAGTTGGAAGACTTAGTAAAAGTTTATACTAGCTTGCGAATGTAATTGTATGTGTAGATGAAATTGTGACATATATATTTGTGCAAGTATTAATGCAAATTATGTTACAGAAAAATGAATAAACAGAAATGCAGGTATGCTATTAAATATTGAACTAGTTACTTAAAGAATAGTGTTTTTATGTGAGAGATATTATTGTCAGAGATGTGAAACATAATAAATGCAGATAACACGGTAGTCTTAGTGCCATTGTATTAAGTTGACAGATAGTTTGATCAGAGATATAACATAAAGTTACAGAAAAGTTAGTGTATAATAAGTTACATTACAAGATATGACTCTGGTAAAAGGTTTTCCTTAATAATAATATTTATGATACAGAAAACTACTGCTTAATGGAAGTTACAGAAAAAATAAATGTTACAAATGTCATGAAAAGTTATACATATTTAGTTTGAAATAATACTTAAAGTTGATTGTGAATACATAATGACATGACTTAGTAAGTTTAACACACACTATAGTTAAAATATGATACAGGAGCGTTACCCTTGTCTATTGAAGTTGCATTTGTAATTAAGATGTGATATGAAAAGATTGACTTAATATGATTGCAGTAATGGGTTAGCGCTCTGGTGCGTATCCTTAAATGTGTGAAGATGTACTTGAAAGTATGCTTGTTATTGAAAATGTTAGATGAGGATCCTTTGAGGTCTTAGAATCTTTCTTTGATGCCCACAGGTGAGTTAGAGTATAAGCTTCATGGATCTGAGAATAACACTGATCACTCTTGAGAATATCTTTGAGGTGTTGAAGATTAATCTTGATGTCAATGAGTGTAGTCCTGATTTCATTGAGGTTATATTTGACGTCTCTGAGTGTATTCTTGATAGCTCAAAGAGTATACTTGATGGTTTGAGTGTAATCTTGATGTTTGAGATTATCTTTGATGGTTTGAGTGTAATCTTGATGTTTGAGATTATCTTTGATGTCTTTAAGTGTATTCTTGATAACTCAAAGAGTATACTTGATGGTTTGAGTGTAATTTTGATAGTTTGAGTGTAATTTTGATAGTTTGAGTGTAATTTTGATAGTTTGAGTGTAATTTTGATAGTTTGAGTGTAATTTTGACAGTTTGAGTGTAATTTTGATAGTTTGAGTGTAATTTTGATAGTTTGAGTGTAATTTTGATAGTTTGAGTGTAATTTTGATAGTTTGAGTGTAATTTTGACAGTTTGAGTGTAATTTTGACAGTTTGAGTGTAATTTTGATAGTTTGAGTGTAATTTTGATAGTTTGAGTGTAATTTTGATAGTTTGAGTGTAATTTTGATGGTTTGAGTGTAATTTTGATGTTTCAGATTATCTTTGATGACAAAGATATTCTATGACAAATCCTTGGTGTCTCAAAGAGTGATTTTGATAACATTGAGTGTAACGTTGGAGTATAAAGATGACTCATAGAATAAGTTTAGTTTATAAATATTATGAAGAAATCACCTACGACTATTGTTTTTATTCCACGAAGTATAGTGTTGGATAAGAAAAAGTGATGATAGATTCCTTTGACCATTTTTGAATAGTCATTTTAGTTAAGGGTCGTTAAGCAAAGATTGTTTAATAAATTTATTACTGTATAAAGCATAGTTTGTTTAAGAACAATTGTTATAAATAATAAATTGATAAGCATAAATGCATTGTTATAGATTTTGAAAATAATCTTTGGTAAATGACTAAATAAATATTAGTAGTAAATAATTTATAACAAATCAATTCTTTAAAAGCTTCCTATGGAACTTGGACTGAGAGAGATTGAAATGAATAATGTGAAAATCGTACCTATATCAAGTGGGGTGCAACCTATGATGGGGATCGATCTCTAGTATTGCAAATAATTAGTTCATCTCATTACCCTCTCAGCAGGAGGAGTGAGACATATCTTTCTGAGTATTTTATGAAATTTATTCTATGTTAAGCTCTTAATTACTACAACGATCAAGGCGTGTTGGCTATCTAGAGGTGTGCAGATGAAATGCGTATGGATGAAGACTGACATTATCTACTGTGTGTGGTAATTGTAGACTGACGAGCTCTCAAGGATTAGACCCTCGATAGGATTAAGGGATCTTACAAACAAAAGCTTGCATTACTCTCTCTCTCTCACTATGAGATTGTCTCTTAATGATTTGTATCTAATACCTGATATTATCCTCAAAAGGTGGGGACAAAGACAAATGATCTGGTGAAAACAAAAAGGGATAGCATATATTTAATTGCAGGGATAAAAATAGTTGTTTGTAAATATTTCTACTCGCTGGTTATCAATAATTATTTACATAAAAATTGGTTAAGATATAAGATGTTATAAAGAATGAATGACAATCTGTTTAAAGACTATTACCCTTGTGGGGGTGGTGGTAGGAGCATTGGTGGGGCAGGTAGCAGTGGTAGGGTGCTACCCCTCTGGGAGATGCTAGTAGCTGGACTCATAGTGGTGGGCTGGTAGCCAGAGGGGAACGTCAGGTTTGGCAGGTTTAAATGAGAAATAACTTTATTATCATGTAAAATATTCTTATTGTCTCTACTATGGTAAACTGCCTGCGTGACTGGGATTGAACTTTATCAATGTATAGTTAAAAAAGATACTTTAAAAGATAATTCATTACGAATTCTCATGGAACCTTGTACACAGCTTCCTAGCTGTACATTAATCTCTTCTCTCTCTCTCTTTCTATTTACTTCAAGTGTAATATATGTACAAATCATATGCCGTTAATGACCAATTTGGCATAACAGACTAGGCTGAGGGGGCGGATGCTCTTATCAATAGCCCACCCAGCCAATATATATGTAGTATTGGGGTTGCTGTGGTGGTAGTAGCTGGTAACAGGTGGTGGTAGACAATGTTAGTCATGTTTCTCAGAGTAATTGTGTTGGTAATGAGCTGATAGTCATGGCAAAGTTTCTTCTCTCCTTGCTATTAGACTGGAAATGTGAAGGGGGGTGATTGCAGTTTCCAGTGTTTGTGATATATATATATATATATATATATATATATATATATATATATATATATATATATATATATATATATATATATATATATATATATATATATATATATCTTAGCATCAGGGCTTAATTGAAAATAGGAGTTCTCCAAAACTCATTTTCGTACTTTTAAGGTGAAGAAAAGAAGTGATTTACTATAGAGTGTATTACACTTATTTGTATAATTTGCACGACGTTTCGAACCTCCATGTTCATTCTCAAGTGAAATAGATCTTACAATACTAGTTGATTTTATAACCGCATTAGGTCAGGTGATAATACAATGAAGGTGAAAACATGGGGGGATACATAAGGATAACCATAGGGGCTGCAGAAGGCTTATTGGCCCATACGAGGCATCTCCTATCTAAACACAAAGATTAATCCAGTGTAATTGGCCTGTTATGTTGGACATTGTCTTCTGTGTTGGCATCGATATGTTCTTGTCTTGTCCTTACTCTCATGGTGGGTAGAGTAAATAGTTCCGTGATTTGGTGTTCATGGTAGGTCGCTCTATTCTTATGTGAATAAGAAAAGTAACAAAACAATTACAGCAATCAACGCAAAGAAAGGTGGTTATCAATAATTATTTACATAAAAATTGGTTAAGATATAAGATGTTATAAAGAATGAATGACAATCTGTTTAAAGACTATTACCCTTGTGGGGGTGGTGGTAGGAGCATTGGTGGGGCAGGTAGCAGTGGTAGGGTGCTACCCCTCTGGGAGATGCTAGTAGCTGGACTCAGTGGTGGGCTGGTAGCCAGAGGGGAACGTCAGGTTTGGCAGGTTTAAATGAGAAATAACTTTATTATCATGTAAAATATTCTTATTGTCTCTACTATGGTAAACTGCCTGCGTGACTGGGATTGAACTTTATCAATGTATAGTTAAAAAAGATACTTTAAAAGATAATTCATTACGAATTCTCATGGAACCTTGTACACAGCTTCCTAGCTGTACATTAATCTCTTCTCTCTCTCTCTTTCTATTTACTTCAAGTGTAATATATGTACAAATCATATGCCGTTAATGACCAATTTGGCATAACAGACTAGGCTGAGGGGGGCGGATGCTCTTATCAATAGCCCACCCAGCCAATATATATGTAGTATTGGGGTTGCTGTGGTGGTAGTAGCTGGTAACAGGTGGTGGTAGACAATGTTAGTCATGTTTCTCAGAGTAATTGTGTTGGTAATGAGCTGATAGTCATGGCAAAGTTTCTTCTCTCCTTGCTATTAGACTGGAAATGTGAAGGGGGGTGATTGCAGTTTCCAGTGTTTGTGATATATATATATATATATATATATATATATATATATATATATATATATATATATATATATATATATATATATATATATATATATATATATATATATATATATATATATATATATATATATATATATGAATTTTCTTATTTATTGAATCACAATTTGTACTACACTGTATTTGTTTTTTCCTCACGTCTTTTTACTCTGAAACATTTTAGCTGCCAAAGTTCCTCTTATACTCATCTACTTTCACTAAACCAACCTTTTTCTCTATACACTCTATTTTTTGATGAACTAAATGATTATTAGTAGGTATTCTCAACTACTAAGGAGTTGATCACAATTAATTCTCATTTAGGCTATGCCTTCTACTTCTCAATTTAGTCTACGCTCTTGCACACCATTTTTGAAGAAAACAAAACAATTTTGAAGAAAAAAGTCCAAGGCTTTTACAATCCCAATATAAGTCTACGACTTTGCACATCATTCTCTAAATGTCATACACGGATTTAGTCACCATTTACCCTACTTACACACTCTCTCACATTTCGAGGTGCTTAATTAAGTGCATCCCAGTGAGACTGAAGGATTTTCTTGACTTAATATCGGAGAATCCGTTTTCAGTAAGACCCCAATGGGTGATGCATAGTCTATGAGTGAGAAGGTGTTTGTGATTATTTTCCAACACGTCAGAATTTGTGTGCCTGCAATTTTCTCACGAGCATCATAGATAGCATCAGCAATTTTCTCACGAGCATTAGAACTCCTATAATTGCCCCTAGAATATGGCAGTGGTGTTAAGCAGCCATGATTTGTTGAAGCGTGTCATATTACCAGTACTCAGATTAAGGTAAGACAGCAATGGGTGTAGCCTTGTATACAACACTTCTTAGAGTAAAGACAATTATCCCCCAACCACATGTAAATATTTCCATGAGTTTTAATGTAAATAAATTAATTATTGTAAGATATACAAGGCTGTATTAGTGAATCCCTTGTCCCTCACATAATAATCTGTCGTCCTCATAAACGGGATCTATACTATACTAGCACTCATCATTATACATTTTGGTGTAACCGAATCTCTGATTCTCTACTTCATCAGCTTGAGTCAGACACGACCTGGCAGGATTCATTCTGGATTCTGTGTTGTTGCTCTAGGCACTTTACACTTTTTGATAACCACTGAGAGTAGTTAACCCTCCTGCTACAGCACCGTTGCACACAGAGGTGGTCCAAGCAAAGTAATTTCGGACAATCACCATCAGTTTAACCATCGACACTTCACAATGACTTACCGGCTCGATGTACCAAGTTAGTGTGTCCCTGTCATTATCATCCACCATCATCTTAAGGCGACGATAGCCAGCAGCCTCGAGCGTGGGTCCCAAGTTATCCCTGAGCCAGTCTCGCATTGACTCAGCCGACCATCCAAGAGCGTTTATGTCCCACTCCTGCCACAGTATATACACTTAACATAATGCATTATTGATCTGATCACACGCTAACAATATTTGCAAGGCAATTTGAAAGGACTTACAGTCAGCATGTTGAGATTATAATATGAAGGATACTTACATCAGTAAGACCACCGAGAGGTTCATTCTGTGGCGTGAGGCCCCACATTTCGACTCCCGCAGCCTCATAGGCGTCCAAAAACCTGATATGAAATTATTACAAGATATAACATATTTATCAATTAAACGATATTGTTTATTTAGATATTTAGCAAATGTTTTAAGAAAATTGTGAATTGGTTCAAATTGGTGATATGGTTTTGTAATCAAGAGCTAATTTCATCTAATGTAAATAAATATTTTAGGCTTTCTCCACTGGTATAGCTGTAAAGGTTACCTGGCTGTGCATAGTTCTCTTTCCCCCTTGCCCCTTTACTCCTACCATTTTCTTTCAACATCTCCACTTTTCTTTCAATTTCTCTGTCTCCCACTTGCTTCTACCTATCTCCAACATCCCACTTCTCCTTCTCTTTCCCCCCTCACCCCCTTCTGCTCCCCTCTTCCCCTTCTCCACACTCAACCCCCCCCCCCATCATCCACCTCTCCACTCTGCAACTATCCAACCCAACTTTCTCCCTCTTCCCTTTCTTTTACCCCACCCACATTTCACCTGGGAAAATGAGATGAGGAAATAAGCATTAAAACTTTACGAAAAACACAGCCCCGATTTGATGTCATACTTTGAGAAAATCGCAGGGCGACCAGTAAAATGCCGAAATTTCTTAAAGTTTAGAAATTGGGCAGACCCTGACTAGCCTATGATACTCAGATACACCCCATGTTTCATGTGTGAAAGATATTTGTGGCTAGTCCAAATGTCTGGACTCCTAATTAGAGAGACATAATATTAGATAGATATAGATATTCAGTTTTTAATATCACAGCATTTATTCTTTAAGATAAATCATAATTTCTGAAGGAGTTCACAAATCACTGTCTCAACAACTGTCTCTAGAACACCTACTTGACAATGTAATTGGCCCAGGGTTGCCAATACTCAGCTATGAGTATGCCTGACCCGTTGAACATGCCATTAGTCTTCATCCAGGCTGGGGACGACCATGGTGAGCCGAACATCTTTAGTGGGTAATCTGTCATTTCTTTCGCTCGCAGGATCAAAGGAATCTGCCATTAAAATTTTATTTTATTTGTATTTATCTCAAATAGATGTGTGTGGCAAAATTTGAGCAAAAATTTCGAGCACTTTTATGAGTGCTCCAGTGTAATGGACTTGTTTGAATTGTTATGTGCTTGTAATTGTAATTACAAGTTATGTAATTACAAGTTAATTGTTATGTAATTGTTGAATTGTTATATGCTTGTAATATATGAGCCAGATTGTTACAATAAATGACCATAAACATATAAATGTCATTTATACAATAACTTGAATGAATTAGGCTATGCTTGATCTAGGATGAACTATAGGACTTATAACCATTGAGCCAACACACACATTAAGGTGTGCTTGAGATAGAATAAACGGGGTCTTATGAACACACACATAACAGTCAAACACAGGAATAAATAATTTTTTGTTTAGATAAATGTAGTAAGAATAACATTACAGACGTGAATAGATGTATTAAGTTCAATGAACTTGATTGACTCCACTCGTACATAATATTGATATGATATATAGGCGCAGGTTGGTTTTCTAAATGCATATTCAAGTTGAAATATAAACAGATCTGTATAATAACATATTCATAGAGTTTATATGTTCACTCTGTTATTACCTTATACAGGTGATCCTCTTCGGTTAAATTCCAGTGTACGAGTTCGGCGTCGCCTTCCACATCGTCGTAGGAGTAGGTCCTGGTGGAACAGTCGCAGCCAGCAATCGGGATACGACCTATTGTGTATCCAATCCCTTCAGGAGCAAAATAGGATCTGCGGAAATATACAACGAGAATATTTTTGTTGTTGATCATACCAACAGAGCACTATATTACATATATTTTATTGGTTCCGTTTTGGTCTTACCTCTCCAGGGATTGCTCCTATATAAATAACTACAAAAAAATATTGATCCAGATCCTAAAGGATACAGCTTGTAATATTAGTGCGGGCACAAGGCTAGTGTCATCACAAGCTTGTAATATTAGTGCGGGCACTAGGCTAGTGTCATCACAAGCTTGTAATATTAGTGCGGGCACTAGGCTAGTGTCATCACAAGCTTGTAATATTAGTGCGGGCACTAGGCTAGTGTCATCACAAGCTTGTAATATTCGTACGGGCACTAGGCTAGTGTCATCACATGCTGGTAATATTAGTGCGGGCACTTGGCTAGTGTCATCACATGCTTGTAACATTAGTGCGGGAACTAGGCTAGTGTCATCACATGCTTGTAATACTAGTGCCGGCACCAGGCTAGTGTCATCACATGCTTGTAATACTAGTGCAGGAACTAGGCTAGTGTCATCACATGCTTGTAATATTAGTGCAGGCACTTGGCTAGTGCCATCACATGCTTGTAATATTAGTGTGGGTACTAGGCTAGTGCCATCACATGCTTGTAATATTAGTGCTTGCACTTGGCTAGTGTCATCACATGCTTGTAATATTAGTGCGGGCGCTTGGCTAGTGTCATCACATGCTTGTAATATTAGTACGGGCACTAGGCTAGTACCATCACATGCTTACCGGAGGAAGTGTTCCTGGAGCTGGCTGGAGAGGGCTACAACATTGAGACCTGTGGAGTCGGTGAATGCGCCGCCGAAGCCCAGTATGGTGTGGTAAACGTCCTCTCGGTTCACTGTTATCTCCTCCGCGTCTGCGGACGGCAGTTAAAATATCAATGTATTGTTTGCAAATGACATTGTTTACTCACTGAATTCAGTGAAGAGATGCTATTGGTAGTATAGCACAATTACGAATGTTGCTTGATTGCTCTCATGTTATCTATTACATGTACTTACTAGTTTACATATGAGTGAGAACACACACAACCAACCATATCACCTCCCATACCACAATCCAACCCTCGGCAGACAACCTTGTGGTTCAGTCCAACACGGAACCTACAACCGTGCGGTAGAATAGGGCGATTAGCTTTATGATTTACTCACATGACCAGTATTGCTTCGTAAAGCTTGTTGACAAACATTATATGTCAGTGACGTTACACAATTAGGTTGACATGGGAACATGGTGGACTCTCTTTAAACGTTGTTTTCATTGCATAAAGCAGTTATAAATCGTATTTTCATGTGATTTTTGCAATAATTTTCATTGTTTTCCCACTTGGACAGGACGGCAGAGCGACGGTTTCGCTTCTTGCAGGTCGCTGTTCAATCCCCGACCGTCCAAGTGATTGGGCACCATTTCTTTCTCCCCCGTCCCATCCCAAATCCTTATCTTGACCCATTCCAAGTGCTAAATAGTTGTAATTGCTTGGCGCTTTCTCCTTATAGTTTCCTTCCCTTCATATGCCGTCACGAAATTTGTTCTAACAAATATGAAAAAGGTTACAAATGAAATTTAAGAGAAATGAGCAGTCAAGTAAACTTCGAAGTGTATTTAATGCTTGTAGATTATATATAGAAATAAATAACAGCCATATTGTAATGTAAATATGCTCCGTGAGAAGGAATTTTGATGGCTTGTAAATGCCTAAACAAAGTTTTGGAAACGCGGAAATTCATGGTACAATATAGCAAATTCTATTGTAACTAGAATTTTAACATATATTTTAATAAACATTGTATTGCAACAAGTTTTTGGATGAAAATGTATAAACAAGAAAATGCAGCATTAGAAGAATGTTGCAAACTCCTGCTTCATAAGAGGTGATTCCTTCAAGCCCCGGAGCCTCTGCCTCCCTCCCTACATGGACTACATACCGGGGTCGGCTTCGCTGGAGACGGGGAAGGTCTCCACATTGAACCTGAGGCCGTCCCTGCTGGAGGTGACGACGGTGAAGCTGCCTTCTTCAGGGAAGTTGATGATGCCCGGCTGGTCGCAGTAGGTCGCGTTGCAGACACACACCACACTGTCGTATCCAAAGGACCGAGGGTTGCATACTGTAGTAATAATAATAATAATAATAATAATAATAATAATAATAATAATAATAATAATAATGATAATAACAATAATAATAATAACAATTCACAACGAAATCACAATGACATATATCTTTGAGGAAAATCAAAGGACAGAATCAGCATTTTGGTTAACATTAGTTGCACGCCGTGCCCATAGACCATTATATACTAAAGCTATTGAACCTGAAACCCTATTGAGTCCACAAGGATGCCTGGAGCCACCGAACTGGCGCCAAGCAGGTTTTTCAAATAGCCCGCATGCACTCTGGTGTGGGTAAAGGAGTTAACTAGCAATCATTCCCTTAAAAATATACAAAGAAATCCCAAAAACGTGATATATATGTTATATTATGTGTTTGAATGGAGCGTTATTTTTGATAGTGAGTAGGTTATCTTCTTGAGATCTTGAGGTTATCTTGAGATGATTTCGGGGCTTTTAGTGTCCCCGCGGCCCGGTCCTCGACCAGGCCTCCACCCCCAGGAAGCAGCCCGTGACAGCTGACTAACTCCCAGGTACCTATTTACTGCTAGGTAACAGAGGCATTCAGGGTGAAAGAAACTTTGCCCATTTGTTTCTGCCTCGTGCGGGAATCGAACCCGCGCCACAGAATTACGAGTCCTGCGCGCTATCCACCAGGCTACGAGGCCCCTGTATATGTATATGTATATGTATATGTATATGTATATGTATGAGTATATGTAAATAATTTTCTAAAATTGCGACTGTATAAAGAATAATTTGTGTCCAGTGGCACTGCATGCAGCTAGAACTGTTTAACCTATATAAATAAAAATGGAAATGATCGTTTGTGCATAACCGCTAATCTCCGAAAGTTCGTCACCGATTGCTTTGAAATTTTCACATAACGTTTCATTCACATCCGAACAGATTTTTCTATACATACTATGTAGATCACGTCTGTGACGGTAAAAAAAAGTGCTTTTTCAGAAAAACTGTGTTTTTCATGAGTTTTACATGTGAGGGAAATCTTCGAAACTTCTTTACCGATTGCTTTGAAATTTTGACACAACGTTGCATTCGAATAGGCGCGTCTTTTTATATATTTACTATATACATGTCTCACCTGTGACAGGAAAAAAAAAACATTTTTTTTAAAAACAGCGCCATCTGTTAGACGCAAGAGCAACACATGCTGTAATCTCTGAAAGTCCTTCACCGATTGCTTTGAAATTTTGACACAACGTTGCATTCGAACAGGCGCGTCTTTTTATATACCTACTATATAGATGCCACCCCTGAGACAGGTAAAAACATGTGTTTTTGAAAAACAGGGAATCTGTTGCACATAATAGCAACATGCACACTATACTAAATATGTCACGCATTCCATTTTAATGTTTCCAATTGCATTGATAAATTTTATTTGCATAGATTTCGATTTATTTTATTTTAAATTTAAATATTTTGTGTGATATTGTGTTGGAATTGAGCTGTGTTGTTTACCATACCATTTATTTCGTAAGTATAAGTATAGAAGCCACACCTGTGACAGGTAAAACAATGCTTTTCTTGAAAAACAGCGCCATCTGTTGCATGTAAGAGCAACACACATACTATACTAAATATGTTACAATTCCATTTCAATATTTCTGATTGCATTGATAAATTGAATTTTCATATATTTTCATTTATTTTCATTTTTATATAATTGTTTTGTGTGAATTGCGTTGGAATTGAGCTGTGTAATTTACTATACTGTCCATTTCGTGAGTATAGATCATTTTTTTTTTCATATTTTCTTTTCCTTTTTTTACTGTTTTTCTTATTTTTCAGTGAAGGGAACATCAGATCACTTGATATTCCAAATTTTCTGATGGAAACATCAAACCATTTAAGAAGGCATCGGACAAGGGAGTGGGGAATGGTGGGGAAAGACGAGGGGACGGGGGAGTTTGGGATGGTTGGGGCGAGGGATGGGGAAATGGAGAATGGTGGGGACGACAGAGGGACAGGGGAATGAGAACGGTGGGAAGGACGAGGGGTCGTTGGAGTGGGGAATGGTTGGGATGCCGAGGAGACAGGTGAGGGGGGAATGGTGGGGAGGACTGGGGGACAGGGAAAGTTGCTGTGGCTCAGCAACGCACATGCGTTGTTGAGTCACAGAAATCTTAACAAACAACACAGAAATCATTGATAGGTACACCGATAGCAGGTGGCTCGATATCAGCGAGGCACTACGCATCAAAAAGTCAACACCAGTAATCAACAGCCAATTAATAAACAGCTATATTCTACCCACTTCAAGACCCCGAACCAATATGGAAGCAGCAAGAGGAAGTATGGGCCAATAGACCTTCTGCAGTTACTTCCATTCTTATGTTCTCATATCGAAGTTATACCCATTGTTTCGTGTTCTGTCTTGTGTTTGTCACAAGTTTGTTCACCTCACCCAATAGAGTACAAGTACGATGAATTTGTGTGTAAATTAAGTCTTTGAAAATGTAATAAGCCATTACGAAACGCGTTAAGCTGTCAGACCGAAAATAAAAATGAATTTTGGAGAATTTATATTTCCATTACCACCGACAGTGAAGAAAAGTATAAGAAATATTGAGAAAAGTCATGTTAGAATTAGTAATCTTACCTTTTCGGTCATATTCAACAACACACACACACACACACACACACAAATGGAATGCATTAGGAAGTGATGTGGTGGAGGCTGACTCCATACACAGTTTCAAGTGTAGATATGATAGAGCCCAATAGGCTCAGGAATCTGTACACCTCTTGATTGACGGTTGAGAGGCGGGACCAAAGAGCCTGAGCTCAACCCCCGCAAGCACAACTAGGTGAGTGCAACTAGGTGAGTACACACACACACACACACACACACACATATATATATATATATATATATATATATATATATATATATATATATATATATATATATATATATATATATATATATATATATATATATATATATATATATATGTGTGTGTGTATATCACGAAAATAAACACGTGATTAAGAATGTGACAATGTCAGACCACGGAGGAAAATGAAACAGGAATTTCCTTAAGTACTTTCGTATATTAAATACATCTTCAGAAGGAATGAAGATGTATTTATTCCTTCTGAAGATGTATTTAATATACGAAAGTACTTAAGGAAATTCCTGTTTCATTTTCCTCCGTGGTCTGACATTGTCATATATATATATATATATATATATATATATATATATATATATATATATATATATATATATATATATATATATATATATATATATATATATATATATATATATATATATATATATGTAGATGGGCAAATAGCCTCAGCTACCATCAGCTTTTGTCTGGTCGTGATGGTCGAGTGGATAAGGTGCCCTGTACACCAGTTGCATAGTGCTCCTGGCAGTATGGGTTCGAGTCACTTCTGGGGTGTGAGTTTTCAGTTATATATGTATAAATATATATGGTAACAGTCTTTCTTGTAAATATATGTTGTTGAATATGACCGAAAGGGTAAGATTAATGATTCTAACACTTATGGATTCTAACTGGACTTATCCTAGTTCAGTCCTTCTCAATACTTCTTATGTTTTTCTTCACTGTCGAGGGAAATTGAATAATTAACTCTCCAAAGTTCCTTTTGACACTATATTTATGGTCTGACGCCTAGGGAAGCGTTTTGCAAGACACTCCTTATATTTTTAGAGATAAATTTTCCATTCCCTGCCAAAGCATATATATGCTTGGGGTGAGGTGATACAGAAATTTTTTGAGGTGAACAAGTTGATCAATGGCAAAATGTTCATTAATAGGCCATTGCGTGTTCTATGTTCTGAACACGCAAAGTACAAATTGACAGGTACAAACGACAACAGGAGACTCGACATCAGCGAGGAACTACACATCAAAAAGTCAAAATCAGCAATGAATAGCCAATTAACACATAATTACATTCTTCCCACTTCATGACCCCGAACCAACACAAAAACAGTAGAAGCAAGAACATAGAACACACAATGACCTATTAATTCCCATTATGTGTTAAGACTATGAAAACTGTGTGCTTAGAGAAGATGTTTGTGTATATTGCTTGAAAGTCAAAGTATTAATTTGGTTATGTTAGGATAGTTGAGTTACTGTGGACATGCTTACAAACGAAACTTTGTAATAATATGCTTAGAGAATATATAGTTTTGAAAGTTTTAAAGTTAACCTATTGTTAAATAATAGGGGAAAAAAGCAGTGCTCGGTTGGCTTTTGGTTTTGACAAGTTGGAAAATAAGTTTGGTTAAGAAATATCTTGTTGATTAGGTGATTATGTTTTTGGTAACTTTTGAAAGGTTTTCACAGAAAACAGTTTTGTAATATTTTTTTATATTAAAATAGTTTGTCCCAGAAAAGTGCCAGCAAGATTGAAAAAGTTTTGTTGCAGAAAAAGTTTTGTCTCTGTAAAAGTCTGTAAGTTTTAATTTTGTTACGGATAAAGTTTGCCTTAGAAAACGATTTTAGAGATTTGTTTTAGCAAAATTAAAGTATATTTCTTTAGAATTTTTTGGGGAAAATTTGACAAGTTTTTGTTTTAGTAAAAGTTTTTCTCAGAAAGATTTTATAACTGTAGTGTTTTTTCACAGTAAAAAAGTACAAGTTAAGATATATGTAAAGTAATATTTTGGTTCACAGATATAAGAATATAATTTAACAATGAAATATCTGTCTGCCTGTATTTTTTAGTATTAGATTAGTATTTAGTATTAGATTAGTATTTAGTATTTTAGATTATATTTAGTATTAGATTAGTATTTAGTATTAGATTAGTATTTAGTATTAGATTAGTATTTAGTATTAGATTAGTATTTAGTATTTTAGATTTAGTATTAGATTAGAATTTAGTATTTTAGATTTAGTATTAGATTAGTATTTAGTATTTTAGATTTAGTATTAGATTAGTGGGAGAAATTTACTTATAGTTATCTAGGATATACAACTCATGTTTCTTATAGTGTGTGAGCTAAAAATGTTTATAAAATTACTCTTTTAAAACTTGCGAGATTAATAGACATCCCGGTTGTCATGCATTAATATTAGAAAAAGATGAGATGCCATGATATTACTTTTGGAATGGATGAGATGTTTACTATAAGTTTGCTGGATGATTAGCAACAAAGAACCCTTTAAGAGTCATGAATTGACAGGCGAGTGTCCCTCTGTTTCTGTCGCCTCTGCTAACTTCTTCACTTATTCCTCTAATAATATCGGAGGAACGATTGACTTCAACATATTTATATGGGAATATTAATATCATCACCACAGATACGAATTTAACGAACTTTGCAGGATAACCTGCAAACCTGTAGGTTAGACGGAAACAACTTGAACAAAAACTCAAGTTGTTTTCTACCTAACAAGCTTCCACGAAGCAAACTTGGAAGCAAACCTATCTTAACCTTACCTAACCTATCCTATTATTACCCAACTTATCCTAGTCCAGTTTATCGTCTCCCAGTCTATTTTTATTTCCCTTGTAGCTTGTTTGATGAGCTACAAACATTTCATCGCCACTACTGCCCCATCGTAGTGGGCAGTAGTGGAGATGAGATTGTGGTGATGATGGGGCAGTAGAGGAGATGAGGTGGCGTTGTTGGGCAGTAGTGGAGATGAGGAGTTACACCATCAGGGAGCATAAATGAATGGGTCTTGAAGGACTGATCTTAGACTGGTCATCGTTACCTTGAGCCGCGACACAACACAGGAGCCCCAACACAACCGCTAATGTCTTCATGATTGGCTGTGTGGCTCTGTTCCCTGATGCTGTGTCACCCTTGTGTGTACCACACTTGCTGTACCACACTCCTGCTGTACCGGACTTGCTGTACCGCACTTGCTTCACCGCACTCCTGCTGTGCCACACTCTTGCTGCGCACGCCTGCTGCTGAGTACGCCTCCTGCGGAACAGTAGTGCTGTACACCCTGCTGCCACCTGCAAGTTCCCACGCCCTCTACATCACCTTCACCTCCTGCTGCTACCGTCTACCATCCAAGGTGATGTGTATCACCAGATACCACATTCAGAAACATTATTTTTTTAGTAGAAGGATTTTTATTGACAATATATATATATATATATATATATATATATATATATATATATATATATATATATATATATATATATATATATATATTTTTTAAATATGGAAGGGAGTACCACCTCTAGCTGGAAGAAGGGGAATATATATATATATATATATATATATATATATATATATATATATATATATATATATATATATATATATATATATATATATATATATATATATATATATATATATATATATATATATATATATATATATATATATATATATATATATATATATATATATATATATATATATATATATATATATATATATTGGTAGCATATCTTTATATGTAGACATTAGTATATAGCAGTCTTTCCTGTAGACATATATCATTAAATATGACCGAAAAAGTAAGATTAATAATTCTAACACGAATTTTCTCTATCTTTCTTACATATCTTTTCACTGTTGATGGTAATTCAAAGATCAATTCTCCAAAATTCATTTTTATTTCTAGTCTGACGCGACACTTGAGCGCGTTTCGTAAAACTTATTACATTTTCAAAGACTTTAGTTTACAAAGACACAACTGAAACTGAATAGAGCTTTCACATCTTCGAGGTTTATATCTACATTTGGGTGAGGTGGATGAGGTGAAAAACGAACTTTCAACAATGGGTATTCAATGGGTATTAAATTCCAACACAAGACAGAACACGAAACAATGGGTATTGAATGGAAGTAATTGTTGAAAGCCTATTGGTCCATATTTCTTGATGCATCTATATTGGAGCGGAGTCTTGAAGTGGGTAGAATATAGTTGTGCATTAATTGGTTGTTGATTGCTGGTGTTGACTTCTTGATGTGTAGTGCCTCGCAGACGTCAAGCCGCCTGCTATCGCTGTATCTATCGATGATTTCTGTGCTGTTTGCTAAGATTTCTCTGGTGATGGTTTGTTTGTGGGAAGAGATTATATGTTCCTTAATGGAGTCCTGTTGCTTATGCATCGTTAAACGCCTGGAAAGAGATGTTGTTGTCTTGCCTATATACTGTTTTTTTTAGGCTTACAGTCCCCAAGAGGGCATTTGAAGGCATAGACGACGTTGGTCACTTTTAAAGCGTTCTGCTTTGTGTCTGGAGAGTTTCTCATGAGTAGGCTGGCCGTTTTTCTGGTTTTATAGTAAATCGTCAGTTGTATCTTCTGATTTTTGTCTGTAGGGATAACGTTTCTACTGACAATATCTTTCAGGACTCTTTCCTCCGTTTTATGGGCTGTGGAAAAGAAGTTCCTGTAAAATAGTCTAATAGGGGGTATAGGTGTTGTTATAATTATCTGCCTGAAGAGTGGCAGTGACGGGATTCGCCGTACCCAGGGCTGGCTGGTGGAAGAGACAACCCACTGTGGTGCCGACCGAGGAGAGTGACCAGCGAGTTACACGAGGCTCCTGCCTAGGGCTCGCAACCCTAGTATTCGTCGTGAAGTGGCCTAACAGCGAAGCTGATTGGTACCTGCCAGCTACAGGCTGGACTGTGGTTGTGGGCCTTCACGACGGGGCACCCAGTGGGATTGTGATTTGACTGGCCTGTGGCCAGGGTAGGTTCATCGTGGGTTCTGGACCACGGAAGAGGAAACCAGGCAAGACTACACAGAGTGAGCGTCGCCAAGTGTTCAGCGTCTTCAGAGGGAGACGAAGATATATATATTGTGTAGTAATAGTTCCCGTTTGTGACTTTTATTTATATATGGTGGTGAGAAAGGAATATATATATATATAGAAATTGAGATACTTGTGTATTTAATGTACCTCCCCTGTTTATTTTACTTGCATTACGGAGCTCACCCCTTGAAAGCCTCTACTAATTTGGGGCCGGATTCCCAAAACTAATACCATCAGAAAAGAACCCGGTTGCGTCCAATTAGGGCCGTATCAGTGTAATAAGGGTTGCTGCCAGGGTGACGTCACGTCAGGTTATCTTGAGATGATTTCGGGGCTTTTTAGTGTCCCCGCGGCCCGGTCCTCGACCAGGCCTCCACCCCCAGGAAGCAGCCCGTGACAGCTGACTAACTCCCAGGTACCTATTTACTGCTAGGTAACAGGGGCATTTAGGGTGAAAGAAACTTTGCCCATTTGTTTCTGCCTCGTGCGGGAATCGAACCCGCGCCACAGAATTACGAGTCCTGCGCGCTATCCACCAGGCTACGAGGCCCCTACGTCGGTGACAGATTGAGGCTGGTGAGGTCATAGTCAGCGTGGTCAGTCACACTGCCACAATGCATTCAACACCTATTTTCAATTATGCTATTTCTACTTTCTTTCTTCACTTCCTTATGATTTGAGTGAAATTACAAGTTTTTCATTCACTCGTATACACTTTTTCACTTCGAAGTAGCCTGATTATCCCTCCAACTTCACTAGTATCCCAGGAGCTCCCAACCCACGACCATCCACCACGATTGTCCACACACGTGTGAACAGTTAAACAGGTGAACAGGTGTGTGTGTGTGTGTGTGTGTGTTTTAAGGTTTTAAGAATAAAATAATATTAAGGAATTTCATCATTTAATTAATATACAAACACTAAAGGGACACCTCCCGCATGATAGCTGTATAATTTAAGTTCCTATCTGTGTAAGTTAGTTCTTCTCGGTACTGACTGTGTTATTGTCGTCTGTCTGCATAAGAGGACACAAACCAAGAGTGTACCTGGTGATGGATTAATATGGTGAGTTAAGAGTCAATTATCTGATTCTTAGAGTAAGCTTCAAACAACCGGGCTTGATTGATGGAGAAATATTTTGCGCCAAGTTAACCAATTAAACGCATACTGCTAATAATATATCCACAACATTTACTGTAACTCGCATCTGTTGAGACTAAGAGATGTAGCTAGCAAGTGGTCTTGTTCAATGACAGGATCTAGCTAGTGCCTTGTTCAATGACAGGATCTAGCTAGTGCCATGTTCAATGACAGGATCTAGCTAGGTCCTATAGGATGCTAGTACAAGATAGTCTGGATGGCTTTTGGAGGTATCTTGAAGTTGAGGAAAGATGAAGAGCCGTCTGTCACTGTCAGCTGTTCTTCCTCATCATCCCTGTGAACAAAAATAACGACTCATTAGCAAAGTGGAAAAGTTCTCGTTAAAGTCCTCAAGTGCCTCTTGAATGATTTCCTATGAACACGTGTATACCAGGCCTTAAAGTTCTAAAATATATACTATTAAAAAATGTAATGAACCGGATTATTCTTCCAGTTTTAATTATTGAAAATTTTGTGTTGGATGATTAATCAATAAAATTGTTATAAATTTGAGGTGCGCGGAAGTTAATTATAATTATAATATGAATTAAATACTTTGCAATAAGGTGCATTTGTTACGTGGAAGGATCCAGACAACACTTAATGTTATAGAGGGTTGGAAGTCCCTAGAATTCCTAAAGAAAATATTTATCAAGCAGAATCGTGGCTAGTTTTTCCTGATAGCAATTAACGATATTACAACTCTTATGGGAAAATCCTAGCAAGCTTTAATTGTTTTTATTCTGTGAATATTCAAATATTTACTTTAATCTATTTTTAATTGACTTTAATATTATATAATTTTTCTTCTGAGTTGGTTACTTAGTTAGAAGTGGACTGTATATATTCTGATTCAGCTGCTAGAACTTATCACACACAGTTGGGGGGTGGGGGGGGGGGGGGGGGAGACAATTTGTAGCTTAAACCACTTGGAGGTGGATCCTTCATAAACCACAAATTGTTTACCTAGTCTTTGATATATAAATTTTAAATCATACCACATATGGTGGTCTAATCTACTATTATTACAGCAAATTAAATTAATAACTACTAATACTATGTCTACAGTATAAAATAAAAGGGGGGGGCCCTTAGATGATACTGTTGGTAGGGCCTGCTAAAGCTGTGTAATTGTAGCATCAGAATTGGGTGTGGCCCTGTGCCTCAGAGTGCCACGTAATGGCGGCTGTCTGGAGGCCTACAAGGCTTGATGTACAGGTAGTGGCTGCAATCACAGTTATATTGGTCTGTTCAGCTTCTTGTAACTCCAACTCACAATTACTTTGTTTGGGGATTTAATCCCACGTCTTAACGATATTTCCTACAATAATTATGGCCAGTATTAAATGCAAAAGAAATACCAAAAATTGTTCTTCCCTTTGTTCATGAGATCTTCGGTTGGGTGGATCGTAGAGGATCCTGTATCGAAGCTCGGAGAAAGAACTTTTTGTGTTGTAAAATTTGTCATGGAGTGCTTTCTCACTGTGTTTACAAGTTGCAGTGTTGTGTACGTGACGACGCCTCTAGGGGCGCCGTCCTAAAATATTTGGTGGTTCTATGTATAATTAAGGAATAGAGAGTTAGGCTATATTCCTGTTGTATTTAATTATATTCAGTCCTAATGAACACTTTTTTATTAAGTTTAAATACTAGACTGAGGTTTAAAAAGAGATGAGATATATAATATGTCTTGTTGTATGACGTCACAGAATACCCGTTCTCTTTTTCTTTAATGGGTAACTTATGTTATTAAATGTATCAGATTTCCGACATAATTCTGGGGGGGAGGAACAAGGGTTGAAGTCCTGGTAAGGACTGCAATCACTTTATTCCTCTCCTTCAGAATAATAGTGTTGCTTTAATTTTAATTTGCATCGTTGTGCAGCAGTTCGCTCGGGACGGACATCCCTTACTGGCTCTTTGGGTGCTGGAAGTCGTTGAACGTCTTCTTTTCCTGCCAGTTCTAAAGGAACTAATTTCTCTAATGTTTCGAGAGTAGTATTGCCTCGGCATTTTACTTTCACTATTCTCAAGATACCCTGGCTGTCTGGATGACAGAGACTATTTGGCCTATAGGCCGCTCTGAGCGTGGCCCATCGCTGTCCACCAGAA